TAAGAGTTTACATTTAGATGGAGTTTAAAGTAGCTAATGAATGTAATCCGGAAAAGCCTGCACATTTCAACAGCTTGACTTTGTCACAGGAGGTGACAGAAGTTAGCAGTCTGCTGCTGTCCAGGTTATTTTCCACAAAAGAGAGAGCTCAAAGCAACATTTCCTTTCAGTTCTGTTTGGGTTTGGTGGTTTGTTTTTCAGTTGGCAGGGGAAGCAGCCATAGATTTTTTTTTTCTTTTTTTTTTTTTTTGGTACAATGTTCCTAATTTTTCATCCAATTTATACTTTACTTGAAAGGTCTGGGAACTTCTTCCCTTGTTTCTATATGAAGATATCCATTAGGTTTACAAACATACCAGTCAGTCCTCTAAACCAAGCACCTCTGGTCCAACTCCCATAATTTTACTCTATAATCACATTATTAAACATTGTATAAGCATTTTTGCACCACAATTAAAAATTGAAACATGGTTTCTCAAGAAAAGTAAGATCTAGGTAGAAAGAACAGAATTAACTGTAGGAGCATTAATTGCCATCTTTTTTTTTTTTAATATATTTAGGCTTACATAGGTATAGGAGCCTTTTTTCAAACACTAGATTCTGCTACTCCAACATTTACATAAGCATCGCTTCCCCTTGATAAAATAGTTCATGACAAATGATTTCAGAAATACGTTAGTGACCCAGAGGGCTGAATTCATACTGTGCAAATAGAGATATCTTAGTGCTCATCTCCCAGAAGGGCCCCCACACACAGTTGAAGGTCCCCGTGGGTCCCATGTCACACACAGCAGCCCCCAAAGGTCTCTAGCATTCATCTGCAGGTGCTCCTGTTCAGGTGCTTCGATCTAAACGTAAGCACTTGCTGGAAATCAGTTCTATTTCCAGCATCTCAAGCAAAGTATGTAAAAAAACACCCCTGAATTAACACAAGTGACTTCAAAAATTTTAGTCAGCTCTCTGAAGGGCCACGGACAACCTATGATTTTGAAAAAATGGAAGAAGTGGCCTCAAAACCAAGTTTTATATGATTGTATCTAGATTGATAGATTGTATCTGACTAGTTTTGAGTTGGAACACAAGCTCTGTTAGAGGTAGTAACTGTGCTGTAAAAAGCAAAACCCATTCCCAAATGAATGCTTCTACAATCCCTATTTCGTTTTGGTTTCTTGAAAATCACCTCCCTATCTCCCTCTCAGTTCATTCTCAGCTGCTCCTCACTGCTTTCCCTGTGTGTTTTTCCAATAAGCAGTTCTGCAAGCAGACAGGATCAGCAGTTATCATCACAAAACAACAGACCTTACTAGCAATAACTACCAAATCATATAATATTTCTCATATTTACAACTTGTGTTGGTGTTTCTTACAGAACACATCATTGTTTACACCATGCTGCAACAAATGAGAACTGTCCATAAAGAGCACTAACCCAGAGAAAATTAATTCTGACAATTTATAAAATATTCATTTTTATGCTTAATAGGCATTGGTAGTTTGACAGCAGTAAACAGAACAGTGAAGGATGACGAACTTAATTTCTCATTCAACAGCTAAGCAAGCCAAAGAAAACCAAGACGTTTTTTCAAAACAGAAAGGGAAAAAAAAATTAAAAAAAAAAATCAAGATTGCCCTCTGAAGGCCTTTGAACTACAGCTTTGTAACTACACCCTTCAGAAGACAGTTTGTCATTCTGGCACCACATCAAAATTTTCTGCCAACTACTTCCATGTCAGTTGCTTGCACACAAGGTTTCATCTCTGCAACAACTGAAAAAAAGCCAACCCTGCAAAGATGATGAAATCAGGGTTCATGCAGCACAAAATACAACTAGTGATCTGCATCTTCAAGGAGACACACCTGAGTCCTCAAGTTTCCTCCCTACAGCAGTGCTTCCCTGGGACCAAGTCCAGGCTAATAAGCCTGGCAGAACTCTAATGAGCTTGTGCTGTGCTGAGTTTTGCGCCTCATCTTTGAGGCTGCTCTAGGCTGAAAAACTCCATATTCAGAACTGTGCACACATACAAAAAATACACTATCAGAGTTCCATGGATGTTTAAAAAAAAATAAATCAATGGTCAAAATCTATTGGATTTTTTTAAAAAGACATAAATTAGTCCATTCTACTGTCTGATTATGCAATGATTTACATTTGTAATGACTTGGATTTCTCTCATTATACAAACTCTCATCCAAGAGACACTGTCAAATTCCAGTATTCTCAGCCATTTGCCACCACTTCTCCCCCTCCCCAAGTCATCTCAGTTCTCAGCCCTAGAAAAAGGTACTGCAGCATTATGGTGGATCTATAAGAAAGCCTGTCAAAACACATGCAAATCACCAGAACAGTCACCAGAACACTGAAGTTACACTTCTGTTAACTTTCCTACTCCGTCCCTAATTCTAGAGAGCCATGCCATCCACACAGTTTAGCTGCAAGACCTTAAGCTCTTACTGTAGATCACATGAGACTCAAATAATTAATTAAAAAAAGATAATTTAGCTAAACACAAAATTATAGCAGACATTCAGTTATTAGTTAACTCTGGGGAAAAAAAAAAAAAAAACCAAAAAAACATTTCAAAGCAGCAGCTCATCAGTGAAGTGGGAATGTCTGCTGTGGTGTGCTCTTCATTCCCCTGCGCTGCTTGCAACGTCTCCCTCCCTAACAGACCCTCTTTGAGCTGTGAAGCATAAAGGAAATGGAAGTTTCCACTGACAGGTTCCCAAATGGTTTTGCATTTTTGCATAATACTGATAGTGCAGCGTAACACAGACAAGTGACTGTTCTTTCATCTTACTGTAACAGACCTGTCTCTTTCCAACACACCCAAGCAAGGTTCTTTTCTGATTCACCAGCTCCATACTCCTTTCATGCTTACCGCAGGAAAATGAGAACATGGTTGGCACGTCTCTAATTAGGATCAAAAAAAGCTCTTTGCCCCAAATGGCTAAAAATATGTATTTTTTAAAAAAAAATTGTAGATTTGCATATCCGTTAGATGCTAGTATTTACTGATCCACATTTTCATTCCAACCAGGGATACTGGACATGAGAATATCCACAATGCATTAGAAAGAAGTCTAATTTTAATAAAGTACTACAGAAAACAATCCTGTGTTGGACAACAGCAGTTGATGGCCGAATACTTTCTAATGTGTAGGATCATTTGAAAGCAAATAATTTTCCTAGGAAGTTTGTGTGAGTACTCTGTTTAAATAAAAACTTAAGACTATTAAATTCTTTCAAGCACCTAACCACCTCTTCTCCTCACACAGCTTCTAAAAGCAAAGTCTGAGACTTTTCACAAGGGAAAATGACAATTACAAAGTCATACATACTTTTTTAAAGGATATATATTAAGGAATTTATACACAAGCAGTAATGATTTCCTCCCAGGGCATTCAGGAGTGTGAAAGTCTGTTGTTCAGAAAGCAACTCCTGTGGTAACTGTGTCATATACAGAACAAAAGCTACAGACATACAGAAGCAAGGGTATGCAAAGTCATTAAACTGACTGTTCCAGAGATACAACTTCAGCTCAGTCATGGACACCACTCTGGTGTCTTGATAAGAAATCTTCATCAAGCTTACTTTGAACATAAGCTGGATCTAGGATTCACGGTGAAACCACTCACATCACATCAGAAAAACCAGCATGTATTTTATGTGACACTGATGCACTTACACACTTCTTATCCTGCTGTTGTACACCCTACTACCATGTACAGAACCGTGTAGTATAAAAAGATGGTCTTCAATTGCTGTCATCAGCTGTCAGGCTGTTGTGATGCTCATTAAACTACCAAGCCAGCAACAGAAACAGAGACTACCTTCTCTCTGCAGCTGCTGCCTTTCAGCTTGCCATGAAGATAAATGCTGACAATACTGGCAGAATGGAGACAAAAGGAGCAAAGCCAAGACAACCCAGTAACATTCCAGTGGTTTCACTGGTTTTGTTTTGCAAGCCACCTGCATCTCCCCCACCCACAGTTACCAGTCACAGGTCTCAGTCCATCTAATCTATCTCTCAGGTTCTCTTAGGTATAGGTCCTCAACAGATTGTGTGTCCCCAGGGTACAAAGGATCATATAATTCTACATTCCAGTCTCATTTCAGAGAAGTCATTTAGGCTTATAAACAGTTACTGCAAATGTGGAAATTGCAACATTTATAAACTACATTAAAAACAAACAAAAACATCACACAGAAGCCTAGAAACCTCTGCGACTGGTCTCCAATAGTACCTACAAAAATACTGTTATAAAATAAAACAGAACATAGACACATATGTATCTGCACTGTCCAAAGAACTTGATATAAATATTATCCTTGAAGCTGACAGATCTTTTGCTAGAGTGACTAACATGTTGATTTCATGACTTGTGTTTATGCAAACCAATCTGAAAGTTTAACTTGTAATACAGCATGGAAATGGAGACTTGTACAAAAGGAATGTGCACTGCCAGCAGTTCTCTTCCTAAAACTCCTCGTATTTGAGAACACATTAAGCATTGCGAGTCAATGTTTAATAGTTATGTGTGTAAGCAATTCAAGACACCTGATTTCCACAGAAAGCACATAATTTTTTATACTACTACCCGATGATTGTATTAATCTGTGTAAAATAATACATGTAGCATGGCTGTCCTAGTATGAAAAAGAACAACGGGCTACTGTAAATACAGCATCTGTCAAAGTTAAGTAACTACAGGCTGCATTTTTATCCACTTCACCCTCAAGCAGTAATTGCTGGCATTAGCAGGAAGTTTTTCCTTCCAAAGAGAATCTACCAGAAGACAGTTTTAGTTCTATTTAATGTAGTTTAATCTTGCTACATTTCAAAGCTCATTCTAGTGTATTAAAAAATAATGTATACTTCACTCAGCATAAAGAACACTCATACACAATCTTAAAAACAGTAGGAAGCAAAGTTCAAAGACCAAACTTAAAAACAGATTTGAAGCTATTTTAAACAGAATGAGGATTTACATGAACTTACAGTAAGATTCCAGTTGATCTGTGGTATTCTTGTGTGAAGATTTAGACTGAACATAAGCAACAGAACTCCAGTAACCACCAATGCACTACAGCTCACAAACTCGAAGAAATAAAGGCCTTCGCAAGGGGAACATTCCATGATGGTCTCTATGCAGATGAATGAAATCAGTGCCAAAACCTAGTAAGAAAAACAAGTGGAAAAAAATATAAATAGATTTCCACATTTTGAAAATAGCCACAAGTATTCCTGAAATTTCCATTGGGAACATGATCAGTTTACACTCAGGAATGCGTGATTTTAGTTTGTAACAGGGCACTGTCTAAAGAGCAAAAACAAAAGCAAATTAATGCAAGACTTGCTGGATATCTCCTGTTCAACAAAGTGTATTTTAGCAAAATTACAAGGAACCTAACATGAATATTACTGAGACACCCAGGAAGGCATGAAACGCCTTTAGGCCAGTAGCTTAATATGCAAACAGCACCTCAAACATTTTATTTAATTTTTCACTCATGATACCAAAACTTTAAGATGGAATGCATTGTCTATTGGGCCAGCCTCAAGCTCAGTCACACAGTATTAATACAATATGATTGTGAAAGACATTTCAATAAAGCTATTATTTAAAATTCACTACCAACTTGACACCTAAATCAATTAAAAAAACATAATAGATTCAGGATCTCTACCAGCCTCCAAAAATGCCTGCCTTGTTCATATTTATCATCAATATGCTGTATTTCATATAAAAACATATTTTATAATACCCTCACTAAAAAGACAATAAAACAAGCATCCTATAGATGCAGAAGAAAGTCCTGGTGCTGTAAAACATACACCTCACTGGGATAAAGGTTAGTCACGCTAAATTCAGAAGATATCTTGGTAGAGTTAACACAAATGCAGACTTTTGCAAGATGAGAGTTCAATGGACCATCTAGGATACAACAGTGAAACTCACTAGACTTAAAAAAATCTACCCAATGGACAAAGCTAAAATATATAAAAATCATACACCAATATTTGCTACCACTTAGATACTACTGATTAGCTACCGCAGAGTATACAATTTTACATCTGTAAGTCTGTTTCAAACTGATTCCTCTTTAAATAACTGGTGAAAGACAAACAGTTGCATGGATAGTTTTGTTTTGTTGTTTGTTTGGTTTTTTTTTTTAATTTTCCATGGCAAGCAAGGAAGGCCTTAAGAGTGTTTTGTTTTGATTTTCAAGACAACAACAACCCCCCCACCCACCCACTTACATTTTTCAGAATTCACTTTTTTGCTCTGCTGCAAAATTCTTATGAGACCATAGCAAGTCACTTCAATTTGAGGATGAAGAACTCGGGGAGATATCCTCCTCAGAGCTAAATAGTCCATAATTTGAAGGTTTTGCACAAACAAAAGTTTAAAAGATTAACAGAAGCCACAATACAAATCAATTTCTGCTAAATCTTTCTTTGTCAAATTAAAAAATGTTTTGCAGATACATTTTCTTCCAGCACTTTTATACTTCATCCATTAATTTGTCTTTGCCTCCGACAGCAAAACTAGCAAAACGAAGAAACAGGATTTTGAAAAATATTATAATTTTTGTCACTAACATCAGAAAAAAAACTAAGTAAAGGACAACACTCTGCATGCTTCGTTTGCCACATAGTTCAGAATACAGTAGCTAATTTAAGTTTCAAAATGGATTACAACAGAGCAACACAGTTTTAATCAAAAAACTCACACTTGAGTACAAAGTCTTTCACAGTTCGCTTCGCGTGCTCTCTTCAAGAGAGCACGTCATGCTAATTTCTGCCAGCTGATAGAGCAGGCCAGCTCACATCAAACAAATTCTGAACGGATACCCAGTGATTTTATCTTTGACATTGAACAGCTTTGGAAAAAAGAAGGAAAAAATATGCAGTGAAATGGAACATTCAGAAAACCAGAATCAAACTATGATTTCAGCAATTACACACACACAAAAAAATACTGCCCAGGCCACAGCCTCATTTTACAGTATTTGCATGCAATGAAGTCCACCTTTTCTGGGAACGCAAGCCTCATAACTGAAGATGACACTGAATACAATTAAAAAAAAATAAAGATCTAAAAAAAAAAAAATCATAGCTGTTTCAAGTGGGATCAGAATCGAGTATTAACTCTAAATGTTAGCCAGCAAAACTTTAACTTTTAGATGTTCCAATATAATGAAGACTCCATTGTTCTTGCCACTACTTTTGATATGAAACTTGTGATTTATTCTTTTAAAATAAATGTTTTGCAATATTATCTAAAAATACTGTAGTACAAGCCCAAACAATGTTAGGCTCATTTTCTAAAAATATGAACAGCTCTGAATTGTGCCACCAACAGTAGGCTGACGGAGCCAAAAAACTCTGGCGTGCCAATTGTTACGCTGGGCAACTGCTACTTGGCATATGGAGTCTCTGTTGTTTTGCTGATAAAAATCTTACACTGGCTCTTCTCCATACCAGATAACACTGTTTCATCAAGCCTAACGTAGCCATTGTAGTAGTCAAAGCTCAAAAAAGATGGAAGAGTTTCTTGCATACAGCATTAGAAATAAATTACATACTGAAGAGGCACTTGAAGCAGTGAACTCTAGTCATGTTATTTATATACTCCCAAGCTCAGAATTAATAATTAATAAACTTCAGAGCAATTCTACCTTAAGATTTCATTTTATCCCTTAAGACATAAGACAGTTACATATCAGGAAAAAAAGTGTTAGCTATGCACATTTAGGTTTGACTCAACCCAAACCATCTCAAATGCAAGTAAAGATGAAGATGTGCAGCAGCATCAGTGTACAGTGGTCCAGGCTGTGGCAGCCCAAGTCTATTGGTATGTTTATCAGAAAGGCTGGAAGAAAACCTCGGTTGCTTCAGTTTATGATGGAGATTCTGGCCACAAAGCAGAGGCCACATTTTGGAAACATGCACAATAACCAACTACTAACAGGAGTATCATCATCACAGAGTGGATCAGGACACCTGAACACTTGTTGGTTGGGGGGACAGGGAAAGCAGAACATTCCCATGCACTTAATTTATTTGTAACACTTTTGTACTTCAAGTAAGATTCCAACTAAATGTATTACTGTCTTTCTTGTGATAAAAATATATTTAGCCCATCTCAGAGATTATCCATCCTACCAGTGCTACTGATAATACCTTCCTGTTAACTGTCTATTATTTGTCTCACAATGAATGCTATGACAAAAAATAAAACCTGAATTACATCAGAAAAAGCTATCCTCCCACAGAAACTTTGCTTTTCATAAACACAATAAAAATCCATCTTGAATGAGAAATATTTTCTCTTTGAAATATAAGGGTAATCTTGTCCTCCTACATATTTATAAATTTGCCAGAAGCATCCTTCCAATTAATTACAAGTAATGTGAATCTTCTATTAAAACTCATTAGTGTTGCTTTCACTGGCCATTCCACGCAGACATGAACCTAATTTGGTTTCTAATAAAAAAGCAAACTACTCTGTACACATGAAATGAAAGTTAAACACATTATAGAATCAAACCTGTGACTTACTCAGACACCTAAGTTACTTAAAAGGGGTGTGCACATGCTGCAACATGAGCCAAAACAGCTTGCCAATGGCCATGGTTCATCTGGTGATCAAGTCCATTAAAAAAAAAAAAGTGTTAACACTGTAAGAAAGAAAACACTTCATTTTCTCTGCATTTTTACCTGCATGAAATTGATAATTTATGAGACACACTATATAAATTAGGCAGTGAATTAATGCAATTTTGCCACTCGGAATACCACTTTATTGACGTGGCCATAAAGTAGACTGATGTGACCACAAGCGTGCCCCCAGAGCATCCCACCACACACTGCAGACACACCAACGGTCAGTGTCTCTCTCTCTCTGCTATCCCAGGTTATTTTCTGATGGACTTCAATGCAGGTTTAGCACTAATAATCTTCTCCTGTTCTCTCACAGAGCTCTGTAACTATAATGAAAACATCTTTCTAACCTGTGTGATCTCCGCTGCCTGTCTAGCACCCATCACTGCCTATTGAACTAGCTCACCTACATGCAGCTCACAGCTTACCAAGGCTCAAAGACATACAAAGTCACTTCTCCAGAGCTTCTTATGCTCTTCCCTCTACCACACCACACATCCGAGAGAACAACTGCTGCCTTGCCTTACTATGGTAGCTATCCACACTCTCTTGGGAGGAAGGACAAGACCCCCCCGGCCCTCCCAGGAAGCCTCCATGCGGACAGGACACCATTTGAGGGTGCAGAGACTCGCACTGCCCCACTGAGCGGCTGAGGCACAAAGCTGCAGCAGAGAAAAACCCTCACTCCCCAGCTGTAAAGCTTCCCTCTTGCTTTGTAACGCAAGTCACTAACACTACCTCGGAAAACCAGGAGACAGGATCTATCTAGGCCTGTGCGTGCCTCCTGTAACTGCCGCTACAGGACTAGCTAAAAACAAAACAAACCAAAAAACCCAGCATTGTATCAGAGCACAGGACTCAGCCAAGGAAATGCATGCTGCCATTTGTCCAAAACAGGAGGTGACTCTCACTTTTGAGTTGCCTCTTCTCATATTTTAGGGTAACGAGTTTTGACAAGAAGTTTTTCCACAAGCAGGTTTCAAGGTTTGTTTACTGAGGAAAAATGAGAAGTTGAACATGGTGGAGATCTCCTCTTACACGAATTACTACTCTGTCCCACAAATGACAGCTATAGCTTTCTTGGGCAGAGGCAATCGAGAAAGTTTCTCTAATGGATGAAATAAACCTTTTCAGCTGGTTTTCAGTGCACTGAGAACTTCAGGGAGTTTTCTATTCCACCCTTATTTCTCCAATGCCCTAAGATTTGTATAACTCTTTTATTACTATCTTTCTCTTTTATAACAGTTGTTTTTGCTTTCCCTTCTATTTCCACTCTTCTTGAAATAAGTACAGCAGATATTGCAGTGACACACAACTGTCACTACCGAAATATCTGCTTGTTCTAGTGCATGCTCAGGTGCACACAGAGGCATCCTAGGCTACCTGCAATACCACCCCCTTTTTTTTTTTTAATAAAGTAAATACAAGAGTCTGGTCAACAAAGCAGGATCAGCAAGAATGAGCTTCAGGGTAAGCTGAGAAAAGGTCCAGGTCTGCCCAGACTTGTG